TTATCCTGATAGCGCTTGACAGCTTGCTGGTATTCGACTACCTGGGCATAAGCCACGTCTCGCCTTTCTTCCAAGAGATTTTTCTCAATCCGCAACTTTTCCTCATTGCCTTCATCATTGTACAGCAGGACTCACCGGCTAGGCACTAAGTGTTCCGTCGGGACCTTCACCTCGAACCCGTATGCCATGGAAAAGGAGGTTTCGGCCGTTGCCCTTCGCGAAGTTGTTCAGTAAGCCCATAATACCTTTTCTAACTGTTCGACCCATATGCCTCCCAACTCTTCCAGCTTCTTTCGCAGCCCGTTCAAGATGGTGCGATTCAGGTTCTCGATCTGTCCGTTGGCCTGGGGGTAGCCTACGGATACCTTAATGTGACGTATGTCGTTCTGCACGCAGAAGGCCGCGAAGGCTCGGTTATCAAACTGCCATTCGTTGTCCGTTACCACCTGCTTGGGTAGCCCGAATCTGCATATGATGTTTTTCCAAACGAAACGGCGACACTGATACTCGGTGATAGTCGCCAAGGGCTCTACCTCTGCCCATTTAGTGAAATAGTCCACAGCCACTATACAGAAGCGCACTCGCCCAGGCGCTTGGGGGAGTGACCCGAGCAGTTCGATGCCTCATTTGGCAAATGGGATCGCGGTGGTGATCGGTGTATAGAAGGTCTTCGGTCGAGTGCCCTTTCTAGCGAACATTTGGCACACGGAGCATCTTTGCACTTCTTCGACGCAATCTTTTACCATGGTTGGCCAGTAGTAACCCTGAATGATGAGCTTTGTGGCCAAAGTGTTGGCCCCCTGGTGGGCCGCGTAGATCCCTCGATGGGCGACAGCCATCACGGTCTTAGCATCTTTGGGAGGTAGGCAATGCAACAGTGGCGCCCTATGGGATCATTTATAGAGCAACCTGTCCACCAACTCGTAGGAGGGAGCCCTCCTCCTAATGCCCCACCGTCTTCCTTTTTGTTGGGCAACTCTGCTTTCTGTTTGTATCTAACCATGTCCGCAAACCATGGCCAATCGGAGGAGTTCTCGCGGTCAGACGGGGAAGTGGACAACCGGACAACTGTGCAGACCGAGAATACTTTGGTGCTCGTCCGTTCTATGACCTCGGTGCGACAAGCCATCGACAGGTGTGAAGGTGTACTTCCTAAAGCCAACTTAGATAGGATATCTGCCTCCGTATTTTCCGCTCGCGGGATGTGGGCAATCTCATAGGCTTCCAATTTATCTAGCAACCCCTCGACCACATCCTTATAGAGTACTAGCCTTTCCTCCCTGGTCACGCATTCGTTCTTCAACTGGTTGACCACCAGGCGGGAATCCGTCTTTATGTGTACCATGGCGACATGGAGGGCGATGACTAAACGCAGCCCCTTGATGCGTAGTATATTTGCAAACAAATAATTCTCGGAGTACGAATTATCGATCCACAGGGAAGTGGTTGTATCAAGCACTAGTTACTAACTTATTCATTAGAGCTATCCTAACAATTACATAGATGATTGATTGGCATAAAATAAATAAAATAAAACAGAGGTTCAGGATTTTGAAAACAATTAGAGAGAAGTTGAGATTCATGGGATTCAAGTATTTAATCACCTAGTGCCAATTATCGTTTGCAATATTTAGTTTGGAATTAAGATTTGTGTGGGAATGCAAAGTGGAATCGAATTACTCCCGTAATCTCTATTCCTAGTGAATTTCCACTCCCATGGCTTAAACACCCAATAAGATCAAAGATCAGCATTCAATTATTCCTAATTACTACCATCTCCCGATGAGTAATAATCTAGAATAAACTTCCCCTAATAAGTTCCCCTTTCCCAAGGACCAACCATTAGGTGCAATCGTGTGTGCCCTAATTTATGCCCCAACTCCCATTGGTGACACAAACATGGCTATGAAGCTAGTAACTATGGCCATTAATTACAAGCATCAAACAATATTATCACGATTGCAACACAAGTATTAAACCCAAATAATAATATATTAAAGAAACTGAGAGCTCAGGCACATAGGTTCATAAACACTTTTACCCAAGAATCTCTAAAGAATTTAGCCAAGCATGACTAAATTATACATAGCAAATATGAATAAAGAATTACAAATCATCAAAAGAGTACAAGAATTAACCAGACGATTTTCCCAAATCTCCCTAGTCTTCTTCTTGCTTTCCAAGACAACTTGTGGCTCTTGATTTCTCTCCTTCTTGTCTCCAAGAATCTCTGAATTCTCACGGTCTCTCTTTAGGGTTGAGGAAGGAGGGATTTTATAGTGGGTACAAAGTTGAGATGAAATAGGAATCTTGTACAAAATTGGACTCAAATTATAATTCCTATTAATAAAGAAATTGCCGTATTTAATTGAAGTTGGAATTGGAACTTGGAATTGAAGTTGAATTGCTGAAGCCAACGCCCTTTTTAACTCCTTTGATTTCAGCGCCTTCGCTCGACGCGTCGAGCTGAGTCTCGACGCGTCGAGACCAGCAGGTCCCGATAACCAAACATTCTGGAAATTTTCGACACGTCGAGCCTTCTGGTCCCCGAACTTGTCCAAAATTGCTCCAAACTCATCCTTGAACTTCCCTTGCTCATAGAATTGACCTACAATGGTTCAAAAACACTAACAAACACCGTAAAACATTCAAAACAAGTGTGAACCATAATTAAATGATAATAGCAAGGAAAATATGTATTAAATAAGCAAAATTAAAGAACTTAAATACTGAGATGATTCAAAATAACTATAATAACAAGCAAAGATGTGATAACATCACCCCTCGATGACCGCCTCGTACTCTGCCTCATTATTCGAAGTCTGGAAATTGTATCTCAAGGCGTAGTATAGGCGGAATCCTTCCGGGGTGGTGATCATAACCCTGCCCCCGTAGTGTTTGGAGCTGGCAACACCATTAGTGTGTATTTCCCACCATTCCGCTGCTTCTGGGCCTTCGACCAAAGAGCCCTCGACCGGGTAGGCAGAGCATTCTACTATGAAGTCAGCTAAGGCTTGAGCCTTGATGGATGGTCGCGGGGCGTATTCGATCACGTAATGGGTGAGCTCCATCGCCCATGTGAATAGTCGTCCGGATGAGGCCGGACTACGCAGCACGCTGGCAGGGGCAAGTCAGTCAGAACCCGAACTGTATGAGCTTGAAAGTAAGGTACCAACTTCCTGACCGTAGTGACCAGGGCAAAAGCCCTACTTTCTTGAGAGGTGAATAATTGATTTCCACGCCCTTCAGAGTCCGCCCAATGTAGTAAACTGGCAATTGAGCCTTTTCCTCTTCCCGCACAAGCACAGCTCCAACTGTCTTATGGGAGGCAGCTAGGTATAACAACAATGTTTCTCCCGCCTTGGGTTTCGACAGGAGGGGTGGAGCTTGGAGGTACTTCCTCAAGTCCTCGAAGGCTGCCTGACATTCTCCAGTCCACCAGAACCCGTCTTGCCTCTTCACGACTTCGAAGAAGGGGAGGGCCCTATCGACGGACTTAGACAAGAATCGGCTGAGGGCAGCCATCCGTCCTGTCAATCGCTGCATTTCTTTGAGACTACTAGGTGGTTGCATATCCAGGATGGCCCGCACTTTCTCCGGATTCGGTTCGATTCCTCGCCGGGTGACCATATATCCTAGAAACTTTCATCCGCGGACCGCAAACACGCACTTCTTGGGATTTAGCCTCAAGTTAAACTTCCTCATGATCTCAAAGCAGTCCGTCAAGTCTTTCACGTGGTCCGCCTCTTCTTTTCTTTTGACAAGCATGTCATCCACGTAGGCGGCCATTGATCCGCCCATCAGCCATTTGAACAAACGGGCCACCATCCGAGTGTAGGTGGCTCCAGCTAGGGGTGACCGCGGTTCCGGTTCCGAAAATGGAGAAACCGGAACCGGAACCTTATAATAAGGTTCTGGTTGGAATCACCGGTTCTAACCAGATTTATTTAAAAAAAAAATAAATTGAAACAACACTATAATTTTTAATTTTTTCCGGTTTGGTCCGGTTCCTTTTCGTCTCGAACCTTAACCGGAACAATATTAGTTCCGGTTAGGAACTGGAACCGGAACCGTACAGACAGTTCGGTTCTGGTTCCGGTTCAACAGTGTACGGTTCGATTCGAACTGTCCGGATCGAACCGAACCGTGGTCACCCCTAACTCTAGCATTTTTGAGATCGAAAGTCATTACCTTGTAACAATACACCCCGTCCGGTGTGATGAAGGCGGTCTTTTCCTCATCCGATTAGTGCATGAATATCTGATGATACCCGCGGAAGGCGTCCATGAAGCTAAGCAGGGCGCAACCAGCCGTATCGTCGAGTAACTGGTCGATCCGGGGCAGAGGGAACGGATCCTTTGGGCACGCCTTGTTGAGGTCGGTGTAGTCGATGCACATTCTCCACGTCGGTGACTTGGGCACCAACACCACGTTGGCCAACTAACCGGGGTATTTAACCTCCCGAATGTGCCCTGCGGCTAGCAGTGCATCCACTTCTTTCTTTACAAATTCCCTGTGGTCATTTGACAGATGCCTCCTCTTCTGAGCCACGGGCTTGAGGTTGGGGTCGACCGCCAACTTGAAGGTTATAATTGATCGATCGACTCTCGGCATGTCTTCAGGCCCCCATGCGAATAGTTCCTTATATTCCTTTAAGACTGTCATGACCGCCTGCTTCACAGAGTTAGGCAGGCCAATCCCGATCTGGACCACTCTGCTCGGATACTCAGCCTCTAGGATGATTTCCTCCAGCTCGACTGCCGGTGTCAAACGCTCTGCTGGTCGGCCAAACACAGAGTTCGGCAGGCCTGCAGGTAAAAACTACGAGTCGTCTTCTGATCGCACCGCACCACTCCTACGGCAGTCGGTGTGCGAAACTTCATACACAGATGCTCGATGGAGATCAAGGCTCCTAGATCCTCTATCCCAGGTCGACCGAGGATAACATTGTGTACACACTCCAGAGCAACAAAGACAAAATCCATTTCCAATCTTCTCACCTAAGGCCAAGTGCCCAGCTCGATGGTCAAAGAGACGCATCCTTCAGCCTCGACCGCATCACCAGTGAATCCGGCCAAGGGGGTCCTGACTGGTCGCATCTGTTCCCGGGCCAAGCCCAACTTCTGAAAGGCTTCCCAGTACAACACGTTGACGCTGCTTCCCGTATCCACCAGCACCCGCCGGGTGACCAATCCCTGAATGTCCATTGCGATAACCAGGGCGTGCCGATGCGGCGCGGGGCCTCGGGTGTGTGCCTTCCGGGCTCTCGCAGAGTCACCTCCTTTGGGACCACCTACTATCGTGTTTATCACCGGGTTGTGCTGCTGATTCTGATCTCCGTCCTCCTCTCGCATGGGCTGCTTATCCTTGTCGCCAATTTTCGTCCCGCTTTGCTTGGTCACCCCCTGCTGCTCGGCCGAGCCTGGCCTGCGCCACTGGTTAAAGGGCAACAGCCGGCCACGCTTAATGAGCGCCTCAATTTCTTCCTTTAATCCCTCCCAATCCTCCGCAGAATTATTGCTTGTGCGGTGCTACCGTCAGTAAGGTGGGGGGCTTGCCCCGACCACTTGGGACCTATCACCTGGGTGAATTGGGGGAGGTGGAGGAAACCGGGCGCGAACCTCGTGGACAGGCGTGCCATCGGCCGGGGGGCAGGAGTTCCTAGTCGATCCATGATTGGACGAGCTCTCACACGAGAAACGGCTTCCTTCGCCGCTCGCCCCTCGGGAGGGTTATCCGCCCGGGGTCTTTTAGAAGAAACTTCTTGTCTGCACTTCTGTTTCACCGCTTCCTCCGTGTCGGCCAGCTGATTGGCCCGCTGGATGGCCTCTGCGTATATTTTGGGGTTCTCGTCTCGCAACCGGCTATAATGCCCGTCCACTCTCAAGGAATCGATGAAGAACGTCAGGGCTGTCTGATCGTTTAGGCCATCCACCGCCTGCGCTTCTTTCTGCCAACGCGCAATATACTTGCCTAGGCTCTCCCTTTCGTCCTGGTGTATCCTGGCCAGATCCGAGACAGATCTTTTAGGCTTCATACTTCCAGTGAAGTGTGTCAGGAACTAGGTGGCTAAATCCTCGAAAGTGTTGATGGATCCTGGGGGGAGTCTGATGAACCACCACTGAGCCAGCCCGGTCAGTGTCGGGATGAATACCCAACAGATCATCTGAGCATCAGCCCCGATTACCTGCATCTTGGCCTAAAAACTGATGACATGGTCGCGCGGATCCCCCGTGCCATCGAAAGTGGGATGATCGGGCAGCTTGAATCCAGCCGGCGCCCTATAAGCTTGCACCTGTGTCGAGAAAGGCGAGGCAGTCAAGAGGCTATTTGCGACCAGCCGGTCTCTTCCTTCGACTATCTGCCGCAGCTCTTGCACGGCAGTGAATAGGCCGGCCATTTCCGGGTTATTCTGGTCGAGTTGCGCGGATGACTCTCCCATGCCTTCTGCGGCTTCTCGCCTTTGTCGGGTAGCCGCTCTCATATGAATGATTGCCCGTGGCTGCTCATTGGTTAACCAGGCAGGCAGTTGTTGTTCGCCCCGTCCACCGAGGTGCTCCATGATTGACAGCGTCGAGGCTAGGGGTCCGAGCCTAGAGTGTGCTGAGAAATTAGCCCCCCGATCAGCCGGTGTGTTGATCCCTGAGTGTTCCGAATGACTGGATACTCCTCGCTGGGCCTCCGCAGGAACCGATCGCGCGGGCCTCTAGATCTCGCCCAGGAGCTCCGGTCCTTGCCCCCGCACGTATGCTTCAAAGGCTTGCGCCAACAACTTCGCGAATTTGGCATGGGCCTGAGCGATAGGTGCTGGTGGGTTCCCCCTCGACGACTCAGGGGTCAGCGCGACAGTATGCGCTTCCTCAGGTCACCAACGGATGCACGGCTATCTGCGGGCAGCTCTGGCGGGTTCGCGATAACTATCACATGCCCGTTAGTCTGCAGGGCAGCATCGTTGGAACCCGTGTTGCGATTGTTTCGTCTGGTACGTGCCATCGACAAAGCTTAGGAACGGGACCTTTGGTTTCGATCCCCACGGACGACGCCAATGTTGGTTTTCACAACCTCGATGGCTGCCCGGCAGGCCAATACTACCGGATATTTGTTATATTTTGGAGGTGATGAAAACAAGGATCAAGGTCTCAATGAGAGAGAAAATAATATCATCTTATTATTCTAGAGTTTTGCGCTCCAAAAATGCCGATCCCTTATATAATGATCCCAGGGGGATATGTATACATAGATGTGGGGTTTATACATGGTAAGTAGGGCTGGCGTTTCAACCGAGTCAAAGAGGTAGGGCTGACGTAAGGGCTGATGTAGTCGCTAACTAACTTCCTTTATTGTCTAAATTAACTAAGGAAACTACCTAACGAGCAAAGATTGCTTCCGCAGGATCCGCTGATACGCGTCTCTGGGGGGCACCTGGTCAGGAATGGTCCCGACTGCGAGGGGGGCGCCTTCCTGAGTGTTTGCTCCTAGTCAATGACACCCTATCTGCAAAGCCTGGTCGCCCGGCTGGGTCCCGGAAAGGCACGCGGTCGGGGACGCACCGCCCGTGTGGCCTGGTTGCCCAACTAAACCTTGTAGGGGTGTTCGGCCGGGGACACGCTGACTACCGTAGCTGGTCGCCCGATCGCATCAGTTCTGAGAGTCCGCCCGGGGACGCGCCGGCAGGTGGGCTGGCTGTTAGGAGGTGAGTCGCTGCCACTTATGAGACGTCCTGTACCGTGTCCGGGAGGTCTCTGGGGATCTTCCTCCTATCAAGTAATGCATCGCCTGTAGATCCGGCTGGCTAGTCTGGCCTCCCGTCCATGCGGCTGATTTGGGGTATCTCTCAGGAACCACTCACCTTTTCCCACATAGATTCCCGTAATTTTGTAATGTAATATATAGATGTTATTTGTTACTTGTATTACTTGTTAAAAAGAATTATTTCCTTACACTGATTTATATAATAAATGTTGTAATTCCATAAGCTACTCACGGTGATGATTAGTGATGTGTAAATACGGAATTACAGGGTGAAATTCCCTCTCTCTCATTCTGTTAAAATTTAAGTTTATAAGGGTTAAAAGATATATAATGGAAAATGGTTATGGGTCTCCTAAAAAGAGGTTTCACATTCCTAAAAAGATTTCTATTCCTAAAAAGGAAGTTACCAATTCCTCTTGAAAGAGGGTTTCTCATCACATCTATAAATACCTAGGAAAACTCTAGGGAGAGGTGAAGTACAGAGATTACGTCTCCCATGAATCAAGTAAGTTTTATTAAAAAATCATGATCATGAACATTGTTTAGTTAATTGATTTCCGCATTAAAGTTATAGTGCATAAGAGATTATTAAACATTTGGTATCAGAGCCTGCTTGTATATTGATTAATCACTAAAATTAGGGTTCATGATATTTGGAGATTTTTAATTATAAAGTTTAATTGATTGTGGGTTGTTGATTATCCCTGTTGAATGTTTTTCGTGAATCGATTGATGGCCACTGCACTATTGAAATATGTAATCTTTGTCACCATATGTTATCAAAATCAAATCGCATTGTTTTGTTGATTATGAGATTCAAGCTGCGTACAACTTATATGTATGTAATTGCAATTTTGTTGGAATCAAGTGTTGTGTTTACATATAAAATTGATTTCAATATAAAAGTTGATTTTGTTGGAATGAATGTATATATAAAATTACGGAATCAAAATCAATGTTTTTGTAATATATATAAATGTCTACTAAAAGGTGTTGCTTTCAATCGCCAGAACCTTCAAATTGTTATCTACGCACCGTCGACCTTTGTTGACTGGTGTGGTCAACGTCAACGAGGCTGGTGAAGCAACGCCTGCGGTGGATGGTAGGAGCATCGCGGCTGCAGACGGATGGCAACGACGGCAGCGGCGAAACTGGATTCGTGGTGACGTTCCGTCACTGGCAACGGCAAAAGGATACTTGGTCATGGCGGTAGTGCTACGATCCCTGACCGGCTTCCCGAAGCTTAAGGTGACGCTGTTGACGGATTCGGGTCACAGTCGCTGGATGGGAGGCTGAGAAAGAAGGCGGAGGGTTGAGGTGCTGGGTTTTGGAAAACGGTGGTGCACGACGGTCGGCGACCTCATTCTCTCTCCATTCGGCGTCTCTCTCAGCCATGGTAGTGGCCCCTCCTCTGTTCTCGTTGTTGTTGGTGCAGGTGGCTGCTAGGATTCATCAATCGTTATTCCGTGCACCAGGGCGCACATAGCACTGTGCGCCCCGCGCCTCCCAAAACGACGTCGTTTTGTTAAGTTGTTAAAAAAAATCCTCTGTTTCGAATGCACATAAACTCATAACAGAATACACATAAACTCATAACAGAATACACATGTTGAGATTAACAAGAACACGAAACAATAACAATGGCAGAAAAGGTAAGGAAGAGAAGATTTACGTGGTTCGGCAATGTGCCTACATCCACGGGAGTGAAACAATACTCTTATTCATAGTGATGGTGATAGTGGTGACACAACCCCTTAGTGATACAACCAATATATTTATAGGCATCTAATCCCTGTACAAAGGGTCTACCCATTTCACTCCTACTCCTAGTATGAGACAAACTCATATTCATAATCCATATATGAGACAAACTCAACAATCTCCACCTTGACGAATATGCTCTTTAGGAGAAAGATAACTCAACAAATCCCCACCTTGACGAATATGCTCTTTAGGAGAAAAAACTTATCTCACCATTTCCACCTTCACATATATGCCCTTTAGGAGAAAGACTATCTCCACCTTGGCGAATATGTTCTTTAGGAGAAAAGATAACTCAACAAATCTCTACCTTGGCAAATATGTCCTTTAGTAGAAATGACTTATCTCACCATCTCCACCTTCATAAATATGCCCTTTAGGAGAAAAAGATTTATCTCACATATACACATGGGTAGGAACAACCATGCTCATCCCAACTAGCCAGCCACATGCATACGCAACATCAAACGTTACCCAGTGCATGTACATGAACCGCTTCATCCCAAGCCATTCGCCCTCAGCCGTTGACTTGTTATACCGCCGCGACTCATGCTAACTGTCTCGTTTAGTTGACCTCCTGCATCCGGCTCATACCAGCTCCATGTCCTCTCCTGATATCCACGCTGCCCCAACACAACAGCGCCCCTGCAAAGTCACACTGAACCCGTGTTCCTTGCCCAATGCTCCACTAACCAGCTATCACCACTAGTTAGCAACACGCAAAATGTAGCATCAAACGTTCCCAGTGCATGTTCATGAACCGCTTCATCCTGAAGCGTCTGCACATACCAGGTCCACAACCTCTCCTGATATCCACGCTGCCCAACACCACAGCGCCCGTCACCACCTTCTCATCTAGACTCTAGAAACGTCCAACAAGTCCAAACAATTTTCGAACTTGGTACTAGTTACCGCTAGAACATCACCTTCACTATAATAAGAGTCATCGTCTTGAAGCACGTTCATAGCTTCATGCTTCTTCAACTCCTCCCAATCAGCCTCTTCCAGATTAGCTGGCTTTTCCGCCCTCAAAGTTTTCAGAAGGCCCTTATATGCCAAAACATCCTTTACCCTAGACCGCCATAACACAAAATTCCCTGTACCATCAAACTTTGATACCTCAAATTTTGTACTTGAACTAGCGGTTGAGTTTGTCTCATATATGGATCAGGAATATGAGTTTGTCTCATACTAGGAGTAGGAGTGAAACGGGTAGACCTATTGTACGGGGATTAGATGCCTATAAATATATTGGTTGTATCCCTAAGGGGTTGTGTCACCACTATCACCATCACTATGAATAAGAGTATTGTTTCACTCCCGTCGATGTAGGCACATTACCGAACCACGTAAATCTTGTCTTCCTTACTTTTTCTGCCATTGTTATTGTTTCTTGTTCTTGTTAATCTCAACAAATTGGTATCAGAGCATAGTTGATATGACTAGTGTTGAGATTAACAAGAACAAGAAACAATAACAATGGCAGAAAAGGCAAGGAAGACAAGATTTACGTCGTTCAGCAAT